AAAAAAAAAGCTATGCCCCATCAAAGATGGCGACGTCCCCAAGCCGTTGCCTAGCAACCACGTTCCGTCCAGATTTTCATAATAGGCAACACCGTGCCCCACTCAAAGATGGCGACAGCGCCGCGCGGTCGCCTAGCAACCACGCCTGCCGAAGCTGTACAGCTGTGTCCTGCTCAAAGATGGACGCGTGTGGAGTCCGAGCAGCCTCTTAGGGCGAAATTGAGGAAAACACCCTCCCACCTCCGAGGGAGGCTGGGCCCACCGAGCGTTGCCTAGTAACTGCCACGTGGGAGGGTTGTTGTTGTTAGTAGAAAGAGGGAAAAATAGATCCTTTCTTGTGCAGAATTTGAAACACACTGTTTTTGATGAGTTTACACCCAGCGGGCTGGTGAAGACACCTCTCCCGCTGCTCTCCCTGAGAGCGGTAGCGGGCGTGCCTTCACAGGCCATCGCGGCACTAGCGTCCTCACGTTCCCTTTCTCCACCAAGACTTATAAAATCCCACTTTTAAACGTCTTCTTACAGTTATTTATGGCCGCGACATTTCAGCAATCCTGTACTGACCTATTAGGTTCATTCCCATGTGGGTTTTTTCTTTTTTTTCAGATTTATTTATATTTGAAAGGCGGTGGGGGGGGCATCGTCCATGCACTGAGCCACTCCCCCAGTGCCTGCCGCGGCCAGCACTGGACAGGAGCAGCCGGGCCGGGAGCTCCATCAGGTCCCAGACTTCCGAGGAAGAAACATGCTGGCCGGCACCGCGGCTCACTAGGCTAATCCTCCGCCTTGCGGCGCCGGCACACCGGGTTCTAGTCCCGGTCGGGGCGCCGGATTCTGTCCCGGTTGCCCCTCTTCCAGGCCAGCTCTCTGCTGTGGCCCGGGAGTGCAGTGGAGGATGGCCCAGGTGCTTGGGCCCTGCACCCCATGGGAGACCAGGAGAAGCACCTGGCTCCTGCCATCGGATCAGCGCGATGTGTGGGCTGCAGCGGCCATTGGAGGGTGAACCAACGGCAAAGGAAGACCTTTCTCTCTGTCTCTCTTTAACTCTGCCTGTCAAAAAAATAAACATGCAAAGAATAATTTGAAAAGTAAAACATCAATTTCGCCCTGTTTTCAGTGAATTTTCCTTGCCTTCCTTGATTATGACTCCTCTGTTCCGATTCTAAAGTGCTTTTTATCTCTTTTTTCTGGATTAAATATTTTTTTCTCAATCCATTCTTATTCTGATTTCAAATTTATACACTTATTTCTCTTTTAATTTTAGTGATTGCCATTGAAATTTAACTATATACGTATTTATCTTAGCAGAGTTACAGTCAAGTAAGATCCTTTTTTAATGAAAAAAAAAAAAAATGGTTTGAAAGGCAGAGTGATGGCGGCGGAGATCCGGATCCTCCCCGCAGGGCTCCCTGCGCGTGGCTGCCCGGAGCCGGGGGCCCACGTGGGTGTCCCACGCGGGTGCAGGGCCCAAGCACCTGGGCCGCGGCAGGGAGCCGGAGCGGAAGAGGAGCAGCCGGGACTCGAACCGGCGGCCTGTGGGATGCGGGCACTGCAGGCGCGGCTCTCCCGCTACAGCAGTGCGCCGGCCCCTGCACAGCAGATTCTGTGAAATATCGGATCGCATGGCCTAAAGCGTTAGGCAGCGGCTCTAGGTTAAAAGAAATGTAAGAGCCGTGAGGTCCGGGCTCCCGGCTTGGGCGGCCGCTGCGGCCCTCTGGGGAGTGACCAGCGGACAGACGGGACGGGACGGAGCACTCGCTCGGCCTCTCAGATAAATAAATCTGAAAAATAAAAAGACTTCCGCAAAGCGAAGGAGAAGGACGGGCGAGGCGGGAGGGACGCAGCGGTCCGCGCTCCTCGCCCAGCAATGGCGGCGCGGTCACTCCGCCGGGCAGCGCGGCGGCGCCGGGACACTCCGTTAGCGGGGCCGGCAGCTCGCAGCCGCGGACGGGCCGTTTCAGGGGGGCGCGGGGCGGTCTGCTCAGGCTCCTACTTTTACAAATGCAATATTTCCAAAAACATAAATAAAGGAAATATTCCAATTTTCCTGAATTGTGACGGCTAAGGCCGACGTGTGTGGTGACCGTCCGCCGACACAGGTGAAAAGCGCTTCCCGCCCGCACGGCCGCGGCGTTCCCTTCTGTCGCGCGGACCATGTCAATCCACCGTCCCGGGACGCCAGCTCCCAGCACGCCGCGCGCGCACGCGTTGCCTAGCAACCCCACTCCGGCCGCCGCCCGGCTTCCTTTCCGAGGCAAAGACGCGACGCCAGCTTCCAAGTTCACGGCCACCTCGCGGCGTTGCCAGGTAACCGCGCTTGGAACGACGTGATTGGCTCCCTCACACGCCCCTCCCCCCGCGCGCCCGTAAGGAAACCATCTCCGCGGTGGAAAACAAGGCCGGCGTGCGCGTTGCATAGCAACCGGGTCTCCCGCCCCTCCCCCCGAGACCGGCGTCGTCAACAAGTGCCCCGCTCAAAAATGGCGGCCGGCAGGGCCGCTTTCCACTTATTCGGCTCTCGGGAGTCCTGAAGGGAGTTCCGTTGTCGCCGCCAGGCCTCCGAAGGGGCTCGCGATGCCCCTTCTGAGCCCTCCACGCAGTGGGCGTGAAGAAAGATGAAAAGGAAGCGCGGCAGCCCCGCGTGCCCCGCACAAACATGGCCACGGGCGCGCCCGCCGCGGCGCCAGGCCGCCCGGCGCGGGTGCGCGCGCAGCGCAGGCGCACTTCCGCTCGTCCCGCGGTGGCGGCGGCGGCGGCGCCCTGTTCCGCGCGGGGCATGGTCCCCGGGTCGGAGGGCCCGGCCCGAGCCGGGGGCCTGGTGGCCGACGTGGTGTTCGTCATCGAGGGCACGGCCAACCTGGGGCCCTACTTCGAGGCGCTCCGCAAGCACTACCTGCTGCCGGCCATCGAGTGAGTGCGCCCCCGCGGCCCGCCCCGCCCCGCCCCGCGGCGCCTGTTCCCCTCCGGCCTGACCCGGCCTCTCGCCTCCGACCCCCGCAGGTACTTCAACGGTGGGCCGCCCGCCGAGACGGACTTCGGCGGAGACGTGAGTGGCGGGAATGGCGGGCGGGGGGCGGGCCGCGCGGCCCCGGCGGAGGCTGACGGCCGCCCTCTGTCTCCCGGCCGCCAGTATGGGGGGACCCAGTACAGCCTCGTGGTGTTCAACACCGTGGACTGCGCCCCCGAGTCGTACGTGCAGTGTCACGCGCCCACCAGCAGCGCCTACGAGTTCGTCAGCTGGCTGGACGGCATTAAGTGAGCTCGGGCGGGGCGGGGGCGGGGGGTCCCCGGGGGCGGGCGGCGCCGGGGCGGGGGTCCCCTGGGTACCCCCCGCTGCGGAGGGGGACGACGTCCGGCGCGGGGAGCCTGGCTGCGCGCCCGCACCCCTTCCGCGGCGCGCTCCGGCCCTGGCCTCTCCCGTGGGGGGTGCGGGGCGGGGTGCCGCCGCAGCCCGGGCTGCTGGTGCTTGGGCGCCTTTTGGTTTAGTGACTCGTGCTGGAGACGGAGCTGGTAGGCTGCGGTCCGCTGGGTCCCTGCGCAGCTGCCTGCCGTGGCTGGGCCCGGGGCAGGGACCCCGCACACACACACACACACACACACACACACCCGGCCTGCTAGGGTGTGCCCGAGTCGGCAGCCAGAGCCAAGCGTGGAAGCCGGGCCCTGGGATGTGCGGTCTGCGTGTCTCAGCGGGAATTATTCATTACTTGAGAAGCAGAGTTCCAGAGAGAGGGACAGACAGAGGGGTCGTCCATCCGCTGGTTCACTCCCCACATGGCCTCAGCGGCCGGAGCTGCGCCGATCCGGAGCCGGGTCTCCCACGCAGGTGCAGGGCCCAAGCACCTGGGCCATCTTCCGCCTCTTTCCCAGGCCACGGCAGAGAGCTGGGTCGGAAGAGGGGCCCCGGGACATGAGCCGGTGTCCCTGTGGGATGCCGGTGCCGCAGGCGGAGGCCCAGCCCCCTTATCCGGAATCTTGAACCTCTGAAGCCACACGCCTGTTTCCTGTGTGAGGTTTTTGTTGTGTTATCCCTGGTTGCGTAACAGGCCAGCTCCAAACCTAACACCGCAAACCTGATTCTCGGCAGGTTCTGGGCTCCCGCATTTGGGCAGCAGCAGCGGGCGAGGCAGCTCGGGTCTCAGAGGAGGCGCGGTCGGGGTGTCGGCCCGGGGAGGTGCTCCTGGCGGGCCGCAGTCCTTGCTGGCCGGCAGCCACGAGGCCTCTGCGCGGGCTGCTCGACGGGCCGGACCGGTGCCCGCGCTGCCGCGGCCGGGAGGTGCGGTGGGGGAGGGGCCCTTTTGAAAACTGAGTGAGTTGATGCGGATTTAAAATGGTGCCTGTCAGGTCCAAGGACACTTCAGAAAGGCCGCGGCGGGGGGGGTGGAATTAGAAGGTTCTTACTTTGAGGCAAAGCAGTTCTGAAATCCACGCAAAAAACTTCGTGGAAATGCACATTGTGGAAAACTGCACAGATTTCAAGAGTGTTCTTGTACTGAGGCACATTTTTAAAGGTTTTATTTATTTATTTATTTGAAAGAATGGGAGAGAGTATCTGCTGGTTCACTCCCCAAATGCCCGCGTCCCTGCCTAAGCAGGCCTGTTGGCACTCTGCACTCTGGCTCTGTCGGCCGGGCCGCCCGCTGGTGGCCCCGCTCTCTGCTCGCTGGAGCCCGGTGGCTTCCCCCTTGATGTCTGCCTCGGAACTGCTGGGGCCTCTCGTGGGCAGACCCCTGTTCTCGGGGGCTCCTGGAGCCTGAGGCCACGCCTCGTGTCCGAGCAGGGCCTGGTCCCTGGGAAGCCTGAGCAAGGGTGTTGAGTGCATGCCCAGATCACATCCACACAAGCCGCGTCTCTGTGTGAGGCCATCATGGCCCACACCTCCAGGAGGGAGCGCCCGGGGCCTCGAGAGAGCTCGGCTGAATAAACCCGTGGGTGAGAGCTGATCCTCCGCTCTCCGGGGTTTAAACGTCGGGTCGGGTCGGCCCCTTCAGACCTCCTGCTGGAGCCTGGGGCACCGGAGGAGCTGCTTTCTGAACCCTTGGTCCCACCCCCCTCCCTGTCACTCAGGACACCCGGCCCTGGAGCCTGTGTTCCCTGCCAGTCGGCCAGTGAGCACTGGAGTCTGCCGTGTTCATCAGGCCTGTGTCACCCTCGGAGTCTGTGCCCGTGACCTTGGCCAGGGAGAGACACGGCAGCCCCAGGCAAGCAGGCTCTGTGCCGCCTGGAGGAGTCTTCTCTCCTCCCCGGCTGGCAGGCGCTCAGGGCCGGGCGTGCAGCCCTTGCCTGGACAGACTGGTTCTCACGTTGCGCTCCGTCCTACAGGGGTTGGGCTTCTCCGCAGCAGGGGGACGGGAGACCCCCGCGTCTTCTCTCCCGCGTCGTGACCCCGTGTTCAGTCAACGTCCGTGGGCACAGGACGCAAGGCCCTCGTCCTGGCGCGGATGTGGGCTGGGGCGAGGGGCTGGCGAGGGGAGCCCTCGTGGGCTGCCGGCTGTGCGCTGTGCGTGCTCCCTCCTGTGGCCTTTGACCCTTGCGGGTTGGGGGGGGAGACTTGAGGGTGTGATGCCTACGTTGTCCAAGACCCTTTTATTTTTGTTTTTTTCAATTTTTTAAAAAAGATTTATTTATTTAAAAGGCAGAGAGAGAGGGACAGGGATCATTCATCTGCCTCTTCCTCCCCAAATGACCACAAGCCAGGCGGCAGGAGCTCCGTCCGGGTCTCCCACGTGGGTGCAGGGCCCAAGCACTCAGGTCGTCGCCTGCTGCTGCCCCAGGCGCGCCAGCAGGGAGCTGGATGGGCAGCGGAGCAGCCGGGCCCCGTATGCGATGCCGGTGTCGCAGGTGCCGGTGCCAGCTCCGTGGGGAAGCTGTGTCCTGTGACCGGCAGTGTTTGTTTCTGTTCCCCAGTAGAAGCGTTGCTCATCTCTGACAGAATGTTTGTTTTTCTCTCTGAGTTCTGTTTGTGTTCATTCAGAAGAAAGAGCAAGTTTTAGGATTTCAAAGTTTAGCCTTTCACTGTGGCCCTCGGACTTTTTTTTTTAATGGTTTTAGCATTTATTCAGTGAGAGAAGAAATACACAGGAGAGTGAGGGCTTTATAAGAGGGAGAGGGAGCTGAGGGGTTCACCAGGCTTTTCCAGGGAGTGGACGGAGACTGGGAGAGCGCTCGTGGGCCGCGGGTGAGCAGGTCTCGGGCCAGCGGGCTCTTCAGTTCCAAACAAGGAGCGGTGTTGACCTCGGGCGTTTTGGCAGTTCACGGTGCCCTGGCAGCCGCCGTCTCGTCTCGTCTCGGTCCAGGTGACCGTGGACTGCCCCTTGGAGCATGTCCAGAGAGGCCAGTGATGGTGGACCAGGCCCAGGGGGTGCAGGTGCCCGGCGGGGGCTTGGGTCTGCTCCCGCCCTAATGGATGTGGCCATCCGTTTGTTGAAGACACGTTTTCCAAGGCCCCCAGGTGCACAGGCTGGTGGTGAGAGGGCTTGGACCCGCCCGTGTGTGGGCTCGTCCTGCAAGGTCCACACTGCCGGGATGGTGGGTTGACGGCGTTCTGCAAGAAGCGCCAGAGACCGGTTTTGGTGAACAAGTCTGCTTATTGACGATCAAGCATGAGATAGAAAAGGGCAGGCGGGGGGCGTGGCTAATTCAGGGCAACACCAGCGCTAGAGGGTAAGGCCGCCGTTGGCGCGCTCTGCTTCTCAACCAGCTTGAAGGTCGTGCAGCCTTCCTGATGGGCCTGGGCCGCGCCCGGGGGCTGTTTACCTGATGGGCAGTTCCGGGCTCTTCCGCAGGAGGCTGGGGTGGGGGAACGGGCCTGGGGCTGCTGCTGCCTGCCCGCAGTGAGGCTAACTTGCGTGGGCCAGGCACAGGGTCACCCACAGCCCTGCAGCAGGCCCTGCCCCCTCCCCACAGGAGCGGCCGAGTGCGAGCATGCCTGTGCCTGTGCCTGGGTGTTTTCCCTGGGCCGCACCCGCGGAGTGCTGAGTGCCTGAGCAGACACAGATCGGCTGCAGGTTGGAAGGCCGCAAGTCTGGGTTCCAGGCGCCGGCCAGGCCTCTCTCTGGGGCCAATGGGCGAGGCTTGGTTTCCTTTCCCGGCTTCTGGTCGTCCCAGATGCCCCTGGCTTGTGTCGCCCCCGTCATCACACAGCTCCCTCGGCTGGCGCCGTCTTCCCCTGTTACCGGAGAAATTGCAGGGTTCTTGTCTTCGCGCAAGAAAGAATTCAGGCGTGAGACAGAGAGCAGTGGGAGGTAAAATAGTAAAATAGCAAGGTTTATTAGGGAAGGGACATCCGTGAGGATGGATGGGCACCTCTCCAGACAGGACCTGGGAAAGAGTGCAGTCGCTCGGACTGGGGGGGGGGGGGGATGTTACATGGTTGAGTGGAGAGAGTACACCTGACCAGACCAGGCGGGCGGCTCAGCAGAGAGGCAGAGGGCTGAGCGCGCAGTCCGGTTGAGGCCGGGGGCGGGGGGGGGGGGGAGGGTTAAGGAGATGGGTCTCTGTCTTCACACATCTCCTCCTGAATCAAAGGATTTTATGGCTGTAAATATTAAGAAGCTCCTATCTGAGTTTTCCCCTGAAGGTATCAGACAGGAGGAAGCCCAGCTGGCGCCATCCTGGGTTCAGAGGAAGGGTGAGCAGGACCCCCTGGAGAATGGGGATCCGGAGCAGGGTGTTTGAGATGCAGGTACTGGGCTGCACCTGGGAGACTGTGGAGGATTTGTCAGGCGGAAGTCGGGGGGAATCTCCACCTGGCAGGTCATCAGGTAGAAGGGGGCAGGGCAGGATGTGAAGATGCGAATACCGGGCTGCCCCTGTAACACCATCAGGATGACTTTGAGATGCAGATGCATATGCTGAACGTAGATAGTTTTCTCCGGAGGCCTTTGGCACACACACGTAAGCTCATAACTGACTTCCTGCCTAACACCCCAGGGTCTGCCCTGCTGTCCCCTGGTGACCTGTTTAACTCGATCACCTGGGGAGAACGCGTGTTTCCAGGTGGGCGAGGGGCACCGTGGGTGATGCCCTGCCTGGGACGCAGCGTCCGCTGCCCAGCGCCCGGAGGCAGCAGGTGGAGCTCGGGTGCCTGGACCCCTGCCACCCACGTTTGCCCTGCGTGGAGCTCCCAGCTGCTGGCTCTGGCTTCGCCCAGCCCTGGCTGTTGCAGGCATTTGGGGAGGGGAGTGAACGCACGGTTAGGAGGAGTATCACCGCCTGTGTGTGTGTTGTGGGGGTGCTTTTCAAGTAAAATTTAAAAAAGTTTTTAAAGATCCCATTTACAGTCGGGTCACATTTTGAGGTACTAGGGGCAGGATCTCAGCTTGTTTTATTTGGGGAGAGGGAGACACTCAAACCCACCAGGTGCTGGGAGACAAAGGGGTCCCTCTACCTGCTGGGAAGGTGAGGTGAGCCCAGGGCTGGCTTTAAAGATGGACTAGATGGCCAGGGGTGTGGAGTGTGGACAGGGTCATCCCAGGATCAGGACAGCACAGGTGCCCCGTCCACGCCCTTGGCCTGGTGCTGTGCCCACTGCGGGGACAGTGCAGGGAACACAGGCCGGCGGGGGGGCGGGGGGCACGTTGGCTGACCCCTGACCTCCGGCAGGTTCATGGGCGGGGGCGGTGAGAGCTGCAGCCTCATCGCCGAAGGCCTCAGCACAGCCCTGCAGCTGTTCGACGACTTCAAGAAGATGCGGGAGCAGATGTGAGTGCCCCTCGCGCGGCCTGGGCCGGGCTCGTGCCAGCTGGCCCGGGACCACGTGGTCTGTGGTGGGGGCGTGGGGCAGGCAGCTGGGGTCGGGGTCTGCGGCCTCCTCAAGGCCCCGTGGTGGCTGCTCCATGCCTTTCTTGACCTGCAGCGGCCAGACGCACCGCGTGTGCCTGCTGATCTGCAACTCCCCCCCGTATCTGCTGCCCGCCGTGGAGAGCACCACGTACTCGGGCTGCACGACCGACAGCCTGGTGCAGAAGATTGGGGAGGTGAGGACCCAGAGTGCCCTGGGCAGCTCCCCGAGTCTGCCGTCCCTGCCTCGGCCAGTGAGAACTGTGGTTAAGGCCTGTCAGGTGTGGGCACCCGGGGCTGGCCCCGCGTCCCCCCTGCTCTGCTCTGCTCTGCCCTACATCAGGGCACCCACTTCCTGTCGTATCCCCCCCACAGCAGGGCCCCCACTTCCCGTCCTGTCCCCCCCCAGCAGGGCCCCCACTTCCCATCCTGTCCCCCCCTGCAGCAGGGCACCCACTTCCCGTCCTGTCCCCCCACAGCAGGGCACCCACTTCCCATCCTGTCCCCACAGCAGGGCCCCCACTTCCCGTCGTGTCCCCCCACAGCAGGGCACCCACTTCCTGTCCCCCCGCAGTAGGACCCCCACTTCCCGTCGTGTCCCCCCCCACAGCAGAGCCCCCACTTCCCGTCCTGTCCCCCCCAGCAGGGCCCCCACTTCCCGTTGTGTCCCCCCCCCGCAGCAGGGCACCCACTTCCCATCGTGTCCCCCCGCAGCAGGGCACTCACTTCCCGTTGTGTCCCCCACAGCAGGGCACCCACTTCCCATCTTGTCCCCCTACAGCAGGGCACCCACTTCCCATCATGTCCCCCACAGCAGGGCACCCACTTCCCGTCCTGTCCCCCCCCCACAGCAGGGCACCCATTTCCCGTCCTGTCCCCCCACAGCAGGGCACCCACTTCCCATCTTGTCCCCCCACAGCAGGGCACCCACTTCCCATCCTGTCCCCCACAGCAGGGCACCCACTTCCCGTCCTGTCCCCCACAGCAGGGCACCCACTTCCCGTCCTGTCCCCCACAGCAGGGCACCCATTTCCCGTCCTGTCCCCCCACAGCAGGGCACCCACTTCCCATCTTGTCCCCCCACAGCAGGGCACCCACTTCCCATCCTGTCCCCCACAGCAGGGCACCCACTTCCCATCCTGTCCCCCACAGCAGGGCACCCACTTCCCGTCCTGTCCCCCCACAGCAGGGAATCCACTTCTCCGTCGTGTCCCCCCGCAAGCTGCCTGCGCTGCGGCTTCTGTTTGAGAAGGCGGCGCCCCCGTCCTTGCTGGAGCCGCTGCAGCCGCCGGCCGACGTGAGCCAGGACCCGAGGCACATGGTGCTGGTGCGGGGCCTCGTGCTGCCTGGTGAGCCCGGTGCCCGCGGGGTGGGGGCTGGGCTCTCTGCTGCCGCCTCTCTCTGACCTGGGTTTGGATTTGGTCCTCTCCATCCTGAACCCCTCCTGTTGGCTCCCAGTTGGGGGTGGCTCGGCGCCAGGCCCCCTGCAGCCAAAACAGCCGGTCCCGCTGCCTCCTGCTCCGTCCTCGGGTGCCGCACTCGCAGCCCCCCAGCAGCCTCTGCCGCCCGTGCCGCCGCAGTACCAGGTACGGGTGTCACTCCTGGGCCTCAGGGAGGGCGTCCTCCGACATCGGGGCTGGGGGTGGTGGCCGCTGCCCCGGGGTGTTAAGAGGCTGGCGTCTGCCTCGTGGGGCTGTGGGGGTGCGCCCCATGGCGTTCACAGCCCCCACCAGCCGCTCCCCTCTGCCCCCAGGTCCCTGGGAACCTGAGTGCAGCTCAGGTCGCCGCCCAGAACGCCGTGGAGGCCGCCAAGAACCAGAAGGCTGGCCTGGGCCCCCGCTGTGAGTCCTGGGGCCGCCATGGACGTGGGCTGCGGGCAGGCCTCAGCGCGGCCCTGCGCCTACCACGCCCTCGCTCTCTCCTGCAGTCTCGCCCATCAACCCTCTCCAGCAAGCTGCCTCGGGAGTGGGTGCCCCCTTCAGCCAGGCCGCTGCGCCCCCACTCCCTCCAGGACCCCCTGGTGCCCCCAAGCCACCGCCTGCTTCCCAGCCTAGCCTGGTCTCCACTGTGGCCCCTGGCGCGGGCCTGGCGCCCTCTGCCCAGCCCTGGGGCACCGTCCATGGTAGGTGCCTGGTGCCCCCATCCCGCTCCCTCCTGGCTGCCGGAGCCATGCAGTGTAGGGGACGAGTGATTGGCCCTCCTAGAAGCACCCAGGGGGGCGGGAGGCTTGTGGCTCGACGGTCACAGCTGCTCTGCAGCCTGGGGCTGCCCGGCCCAGCGCCGTGGGGCGTGGCGTCCTCGGATGCAGTGGGGCCGGGCGCGGTGCTGTCCCCAGGAGCGGCCAAGCGCTGTCCTGGGCGTGGGGTGAGAGGAGGAATCTGGTCCCGGTCTTCCTGACCGGCCGGCCTCCTGCAGGAGGTGGTCTGAGCCCGCGCCCTCCCCTGCTTCCCCTCCGCAGGCCGGCACAGTGGCCCCTGGCGGGGTGAGCGGCCCCTCCCCGGCCCAGCTGGGGACCCCGGCCCTCGGCGGGCAGCAGTCGGTCTCCAACAAGCTCCTGGCCTGGAGCGGGGTCCTCGAGTGGCAGGAGGTGAGTGGCCGCCGGGGCGGGGGTGCTGTCCAGGGGCGAGGCCTGAGGACACGGGGCTTGGGGCTGTGGGTTCAGGATGAGCGAGTGTTCAGAAGTGCGAGGGAAGATCCCAGAACTCTAGGACGTGGGGTGTAGACGGGCCTGGTATGGTGGGGACATGGGGTGCAGACAGGCCCAGTGTGGCGGGGACGTGGGGTGCAGACGGGCCCGGCGTGGTGGGGACGTGGGGTGTAGAAAGGCCCAGTGTGGCAGGGATATGGGGTGTAGACGGGCCTGGCGTGGTGGGGACATGGGGTGTAGATGGGCCCGGTGTGGCGGGGACGTGGGGTGCAGACAGGCCCAGTGTGGAAGGGACGTGGGGTGCAGACAGGCCCGGCGTGGTGGTGTCTGGGGGGCCATGGACTGTGGGGAGGGCCTGGAGGAGGCCCAGCATTTGAGGCATTGGCAGGCCAGAGGGATGTGGGACGGGAGGCCTGGCGCAGGGCCGGGGCTCCAGCACACCCAGACCTTTGGGGCTGCCCAGCAGGGGCCGGGCCGAGGCCTGGGGCCCACTCACTGACACACTCTTCCTCCCGAGAAACCCAAACCCGCCTCCGTGGACGCCAACACGAAGCTGACGCGGTCCCTGCCCTGCCAGGTCTACGTGAATCATGGGGAGAACCTGTAGGTGCTGGGGGCGGGGCGGGGGCGGGGCTCTGCTGGGCCCCGCCTCTCCTGACACTTGTGTCCTCCCCCCAGGAAGACCGAGCAGTGGCCTCAGAAGCTGATCATGCAGCTCATCCCCCAGCAGCTGCTGGTGAGAGGCGGGACCCCCATCCCCCGCCCCGCCCCGCCCCGCCCCGCGCCTTCCTCGTGCCCCACGGGGCTTCCGTGTCTCCCGCAGACCACGCTGGGCCCGCTGTTCCGGAACTCGAGGATGGTGCAGTTCCACTTCACCAACAAGGACCTGGAGTCCCTGAAGGGGCTCTACCGCATCATGGGCAACGGCTTCGTGAGTGCTCCCCGGCCTGCAGGAAGTGCTGCCCCCACAGGGCTCCCGGGGTGGCCTTTCCTGGGGCGCTGTCCAAGTTGCAGGTGTACCCCAGGCCGTATGCCGGGGGTCCTGTGTGCTTCCACAAAGGCAGGCTAGGGCAGAGTGACGGCAGCCCTGTGCCCCCGGCTGGGCTCGCCTGCCCTGGGCGGAGCCTGCCCTGGGCGGAGCCTGGTTGCCTGGGAGACTGGGGAGGAACATCACCCAGCCTGCCCGCGGCCGGGATGCGACGCTTACCCAGGCAGCAGTGGCGGCTGCACACAGTGGGGAAGGGACAGGGGCAGGCAGTCAGCTCGCAGGGCCTGCCTCAGGGCAGGGCACCGAGGCGCAGGAGTGAGCTGGGGTGGCTGTGGTCGGCCCCCTCAGGAGCCCTGCGAGATGGGTCGCCCGCCCGGGCTCAGCCACCGGGGCCCGGGGAGGCGCCTGCCTTGTCCTGGCCGCTTGTCTGCACGGCCACCTTGTGCCCGCTGCCGCCTGGCCGTTCCGGGGCCGCAGGGCTGTGGGACTCCTGCCCTCCGTTCTCCTTGATCCCGTGCCTTCGGGCAGACGGGGTCTGAGCCCGCGCCCACCCTGTGAGCCCGCCCGCGGCCTTGGCGTCTCCTGGGGTGGAGGTTCGGAGTTGCAGAGCTGGACCTCGCCGGTGTCGGGCCCCCTCTCTCTCCTGCCCCTCTCGGCGCTCGGCGGCACCCCAGCCTCGCCCTGGCTCCCCCACCCCGTGCGGTGGTTGGCAGCCTGGAGCAGCCCCTGGTCTCCAAGCCTTTTATTTTAGTTTTTAAGATTTATGTATTTTATTTGAAAGTCACTGTTACAGAGAGGGAGAAGCAGAGAGCGAGAGAGGTCTTCATCTGCCGGCTCACTCCACAAAATGGCCGCAACGGCCAGACCGGGGCAGACGCGCCAGGAGCAGGACTCGGTCTCCCACACTCGGCCCCCCTTCCGTGCTTTTCCAGGCGCATAGCGCAGCGGGGACTAGGACCCGCCCATAGAGAGCGACGCTAAGGGCCCCAGCTTGGCCTGCTGTACCGCAGGGCAGTGGAGACCTCACCACCCTTTGCTTCTGTGTCCTGTGGCTTCTGGAACCTTCTAGAAAGGGAAGGGGTGGGCTGCTGCCTCAGCAGGGCGCTCTGGTCCTGAAGAGCCTCTGTCCCCCAGGCGGGCTGCGTGCACTTCCCCCACACGGCCCCGTGCGAGGTGCGCGTGCTCATGCTGCTGTACTCCGTCCAAGAAGAAGATCTTCATGGGCCTCATCCCCTACGACCAGAGCGGCTTCGTCAACGGCATCCGGCAGGTCATCACCAACCACAAGCAGGTGCAGCAGCAGAAGCTGGAGCAGCAGCGAGGGGTGAGCGTCCCCTGCCCCTCCCTGCCGTCCCCCGGGGCCCTGCCAGGTGCCCAGTGCCAGGGGCGGTCACTCTTCTCCCAGGGCAGCCCGCCCCCAGCCCCCGAGCTCCCTGCTGCCTGTCTCCCTTTGGCAGCCCCGGTGGCCCCTCTTGGGCACGTGGGAGCGTCAGGCTCACTTCTGAGACTTCCACCCTCCAGGGTGCGCCCCCCCGCCCCGGCTGGCGTGCAGGACCCCCGCCCCGGCACTGACCCGCCCCTCTCCCCTTGCAGATGGGGGCGCAGCAGGCACCCCCGGGACTGGGCCCCATCCTGGAGGACCAGGCGAGGCCCTCGCAGAATCTGGTGAGGACAGACGGGGGTCGGCGGGCCCCGGAGGGCCCCTGTGGGTCCCGCAGCGTCTTGGTGGCCGCGGGCTGGGGGCTCTGCCCGCCTCGCTCACCCTTGTGTGTCTCTCACCACCAGCTCCAGCTCCGCCCACCGCAGCCCCAGCCTCAGGGCACTGTGGGGGCCTCTGGAACCGCGGGGCAGCCCCAGCCCCAGGGTACGTCCCAGACCCCCCCGGGGGCCCCCCAGGGTCCTCCTGGAGCAGCGCCCGGCCCAGCCCCTCCTGGACCCATCCTCCGGCCCCAGAACCCTGGGGCCAACCCCCAGCTGCGAAGCCTCCTCCTCAACCCTCCCCCGGTAAGACTCGGGGTGGGAGAGGGGCCACGGACTCAGCCCCGCGGGTTCCAGTGCTTTCTAAGACCTGGGGCGGAGGGAGGCTGACTTCTGCCATGGCTGGATGCAGACCCAAAGGGGTTCCAGGCTGAGCCTCCCCAGCGTCTGGGTCTCTGCGAGCCCCCCCAGCAGTGGGTCTCTAAGCAGCCTCTGTGCAGAGGGTCGGGGTCCCTGCCAGAGGCCTCTGAGCTGCTCTCTGTGTTCCTCTAGCCCCAGACGGGGGTGCCCCCACCCCAGGCCTCCCTCCACCACCTCCAGCCACCAGGGGCGCCCACGCTGCTGCCCCCACCGCACCAGGGCCTGGGGCAGCCCCAGCTGGGGCCCCCGCTCCTGCACCCGCCACCCACTCAGTCCTGGCCGGCACAGCTCCCCCCGCGGGCTCCACTGCCAGGTAAGGGGCCTGGAGGAAGGCGAGGGGTCTGCACCGAGTGCCCCAGCCGCCCCTGGGTCACAGCACTGCCCCACGGGCTCCTGGGAGGAGGGGAAAGGGCGGCCATGGCCCCGGGGCTCGAGGGCTCCTGGGCTCGAGGGCTCCTGGGACAGCCGAGGACAGGGACCTCGTGGGGCGGGCGTTCCTCCCCCGGGCTCCCACGTGTCCTGGGATCAGAGCTGGGGAAGGAACCCAGAGGCTGGTGGGAAACGGCGTCTGCAGCCAGGCGGGGCGAGGCGACTTCAGACACTGAGGGCCTTGGCTCTCAGGAGGAGGGGCGAAGCAGGCGCAGGGCCCTGCAGGGCCCCAGGGCCTACTGGGAGATGCAGTCCCTTCCCACTGCCCCCCAGGTCAGATGCTGCTGAGCGGGGGTCCCCGGGGCCCGGTCCCCCCGCCGGGCCTGCAGCCCAGCGTCATGGAGGACGACATCCTCATGGATCTCATCTGAACCCGCCCCCAATAAAGTTCCTTTTAACACCCGCCCGGCTCCCGTCACTGACGTCCCCAGCCCCGGGCAGGAGGCCCGGGAGACCTCTGTCCCGTCCTTGCTGCCGCGGGAGCCAGAGGCAGGCAGGCAGCGGCCGGACTGCGCGGTGCACGCGGCGCGGGGCGCTGCAGGACTGCAGGAGCCCGAGCCGCTGGACGCAGCAGCCAGTGGGGTCAGGCGGGGTGCAGGGACAGCCGCGCAGACGCTCCGGGGCGGGAGCGTGGGCTGTCTGAGCAGCAAGTTGGTGGGTGCTTCTGGAGTGAGCGTGAGGGGAGGAGCTGGCGGGGCGGCACCAGGGGGCCTGGGCCGACTCCTGTGTGTCAGGAAGACTCCTGGGCCGTGGAGGGCGGGGAGGCCAGGCAGGAGGCCAGGGCTCGCGGGGTTGGGCCAGGCACGGCCGCTGGTTCTGGTGGAGGAGCTGGTGCAGGGGCGTGCAGGCAGAAGGCGCCCTGTGGGAGCCTAGGCCGTGCTGTAGGGACAGGCGCGTGTGAAGAGAGGGCAGCCTGGGCCCGTCGGAGCGGCCTTCCCGGGCTTGGACAGGTTGTTCAGTGAGGCCGCCCGAGGCGGGGGACCTGGCAGGGTGAGGGTCTGGGCGCAGGCCGGCCTGTCCTGCCCTGCCCTGGGGGCCGCGCGGGTGTCCGGCAGGGTGCGCCTGGACCCCGCTCCGCGCTCGGCGTGCAGCGTCTAGGGCCCGCCCCAGGGAGAGGTTGCAATCTGGTGGCCCGGGGGCCCCTCAGATGGGTTTTGTTTGGCCTTCCGTGTGTTAGCATGCCTGGGCACTTCTTGAGGTAGTTGTAGAAGTGGGGCACTCACACACACACACACACACACACACACGATCTGTAGTCTCGGCTGCTCGTGAGGTCAGCAGCTCTGGCCCCCGGGCCCACGCTTCTGCCTGGCGGCAGCGGGCAGAGCTGCCCTGTCGGGGGCATGTGCTCCCCGGTTCGCCACAGTCCCCACCGCTCCCTCGGCCCCCCACGGGAGGCAGCGGCACCGCCGTGGCCCTGGCGTGCACTGCGGCTGTCCCTGTGGTGGCGTGCAGAGAGTGAAACCTTTCTTGTACCCATGTCTCTACCAAAAGCGGCAAAGCGAAAGAGAGAAGGCGAGGGCCGCGTGTTTCGAGAGAAATGGGAGCGAGACTATTTCTTTGTGGAGGTGAAGAGCATGCCTACGTGTTTAATATGCAAAAAAATCGTGTCTGTGTTGAAAGAGTACAACCTGAAGCGCCATTACGAGTCCAAGCACAGCAAGAGCTACGACCAGTACACGGAGCAGACGCGCGAGGCCCTGCTCAACGAGCTGAAGAAGGGGCTCAAGTGCCAGTAGGAGTCCCCGGGCCAGGCCTGCCGGGCCTGCTGACCCTCGCCGAAGACGGTGCAGCCCAGGCCACTTTATTTATTCGCGGTGCCGAGCGCGTTGGTGTTGGTGGGACCCTGGGGGTCAGACGCCGCCCCAGGTGGGCCCTGGCCGGGAAGTGACTTTGGTGTCTTGAAGATGGCAAGTACCCGTGGACTGGCCCAGGGTCTGCAGCACAGCCGCGGTGGTGGCGGTGACCTGTGGGAGCCACCAGCATGCCTGGGTCCCAGGACAGAGAACTCGGGCCCTGGCGCTGTTCTCGCCGTGCAGGGGGACGCCCCGACACCTCGACAGACACCGCTCCGTGCGCCGGCGGGTGTCCCTGGAGCTGCTGAAGTCCCCTGAGCTGGCGCATCGCCACCCGGGCCCCCACCCCAGGAGCGCAGTCGGGGTCCCGGCTCCTGTGACCACTGCTCTGCAAGGACGTCACATGCAGCGACTTGAATGTGTCCTCACGTTTGCCACTGTGGGGACGCCCGGACGTGGGGAGCCCGCTGAGCACCGTCCGCTCGGCCACCGGGCCGCTGGGCGCCGGCTCCGGCCCTCGCTTCTGCCGCCCAGCGCTCAGGCCTGAGCCCCGGGGCCGAGGCGGAGCCCGGGAACCGCCCGGGCCGCGCCAGCCTTCCGGCTTCAAGTCAAAGGAGCAAGAGAATGATGAAAGAGGAAACAATTTTAATGAGTAAATCTTTCTATTTTTCAATCTGTATTTTTTCAATCTTGAACTGCACACCTAGGCTGCAGTGCCCTGCGTGTTTGTATTCTGTCCCATGCGTTGGCCACCGTTCAGTAAAGATACCATTTGATTACGTCTCTGGCCCTGGACTCTGCTTCTCCCTGGCTGAGCTCGCCCACGAGTGACCCGCCCGGCCGCCCGGGGCTGTGCCTGGACCGGGGCGTGGAGGAGGGCCGGGGCGGGGGAGGCGGGCCGGGCCTCAGGACCAGGCAGGCGACGGGATGCGCAGGTGCAACACGAGGGAGCGCTGGGGACTGTGGCGAACCTGGCGAGTGCTTGCCCCGCCTCCTGGCACTCCAACCCAAACCAAAAAACACGGGAGGACCAAACAAAATCTGCTGGTGGGGCTAGTGAGGCCGCCGGGCCGCCATTTTGCGACCTCTGGAAGAAGACGGCGGCCCGGGAGAGGTCCTGGTGCGAGGGCTGGGCAGGGGCCGGAGGCCAGGAGGAGACCAGGCAAGTGCGGCCGAGGAGGGGCGGCTGTGTCACAGGCGGAGGGCTGGGTGCGCGGGTGGGACCCCTGCCCCGCGGAGGGCCGGGCCGGGCCAGGGCAGGTGCATGGAGGAGCTCCCGAGGGCATGAGCGCAGGGGCGGCGGGGTCCGCGCGCCCGGCCCGGAGGCCCCAGGAGGACGCCGGCCTCTGCTCCACCTCTGTTGCCGCGCCGGACTGTGCGTCCCGCTGTCCCCGCTGCGTCCTCGCCGGCCCACCGGGGGTCAGCGCCTGGGGGCGGCGGCCGCAGCCTTGCGTCTCTGACCGGAGGCCGCCCCGGACGCGAGTGGAACGGAAAACGGGTTTTGAGACCAAAACCACTAACACGAACGTGGCCTAAGGGTCAGGAGCCTGCCCTTGGTGAGAGAGGAGGATGCCCCCCCACCAGCACTGTGGCCAAGGAAATCCTAGAAAAATGACACCCTCTCAAACGGAGTTAATGAGAAGGTGTGTTTCAAGGTACAGGGGGCTCACTGACACGTTTGCCCACCATCTCTGGCTGCTTCTGCTGCTTCTTCTTTTTTTTTTTTTTAAAGACATTTGAGAGAGTCGCAGAGAGAGAGGTCGTTCATCCACTGGTTCACTCCCCAACTGGCCGCAACGGCTGGAGCTGGGCAGATCCGAAGCCAGGAGCCAGGAGCAGCTTCTGGGTCTCCCACGCGGGTGCAGGGGCCCAAGCGCTTGGGCCATCCTCCACTGCTTTCCCAGGTGCATTAGCAGGGGGCTGGGTCGGAAGAGGAGCAGCCGGGACTCGAACTGGTGCCCATGTGGGATGCCGGTGTCATAGGTGGAGGCTCAGCACTGGTCCCTTTGTGTGTGTGTGTGTGTGTGTGTGTAAGATTTATCATATTTATTTGAAAGAGTTACAGAGAGGTAGAGACAGAGACAGAGGGGTCTTCCATCCACTGGTTCACTCCCCAGATGGCCGCAACGGCCGGAGCTGAGCCAATCAGGAGCCAGGAGCTTCTTCCAGGTCTCCCACGCGGGTGCAGGGGCCCAAGGACCTGGGCCATCTTCTACTGCTCTCCCAGGCCACAGCAGAGAGCTGGATGGGAAGTGGAGCAGCCGGGACTCGAACCGGCGCCCATATGGATGCCGGTCCTGCAGGCCAAGGCTTTAACCCGCTGCGCCAAGGCGCGGCCCCTTTCTTTTTCTTTTTTTTTTTCTTTTTAAGATTTATTTGAAAGACAGAGGGAGAGCGAGCGAGCACCATCTGCTGGTTCACTCCCCAAATGGCCACAACCATCTGGGCTGGGCCAGGCTGCAGCCAGGAGCTCCATCTGGGTCTCCCGTGGGTGGCAGGGGCCCCAGCACTTCCACCAGCGCTGCCTAAGGGACGCGGGTGTCGTCAGCGGCTCAGCCCACTGTGTGACAGGTGGCCTCCACCTCCGTGGGTGGACACGGTCCAGCCCGAGGCCGGCGGCCTGTCCCGAGGTGCCTCAAAACGCTGCTGGAAAACGGGGTTCATTTCCATTAATTTTGGAAGTTTCATTTAAGCAGGTTAAGCTGTGGCCTAGATACGCGCCGGTTCCAGTCCCGGCGGCTCCACTCGTGACCCTGCACCGCGGGAGACCCGGATGGCGTCCCGGGGCCGTCTGGGGGCGTGAGCCAGCATTCTGGAGATGTCTCTCTCTGCTCTCACCAACTCTTCCGAAAAAATCTTTAAAAAATGAGAGAGACGGAGAGCTGTCCGGCTTCTGGTCCATTCGCCCAAGTTTCGCGGGGGCGTGGCAAGCCCCGCCTCCGAGCGGCCGAAGTCCGAGGCCGGCCCCGCTTGCCGGTGGGCCTCACTCTCGGTCTCCCCGGCCCTGGCCATCGAGCAGCAAGGCGGGAAAGCGGAGGGCCGTAGTACCCGGATGTGGGCAGTGACGTCACTTCCTGTTCCGCTCGGGGTCCCCTCACAGGGAGTTATTAGCTCGGGCCGGGCTGAGAGGAAAAGGGGGAGAGCGGGCCGACCCCAGTGGGGGCTGCAGAGGGGGCCCGGGGCTTCTCCCAGGGCAGATGTCGGAAACCAGGCGGCTCTCCATTGCGGGGCCCCGGGCGGCAGGCGTGACGTCAGGAGCGGGATGACGTGACGTCAGGAGCGGCGCGGTGGTCCCGGCGCTCCCGGGCTGGGGAAGGGCGCGGTAAGTAGCCACCACCTGGCGGTGTTCAGGGCTGCGCGTGGGCCCTCCCTGCTAGGTTGCAAAGAGAAAAACCCAGGACCGCGGCGCGCGCGCCCATTTCTCATGGCTCATGCGCGTCTCTGCCCGTGGTGGTCACCCGGACCGACGGGTGACTGATGCGCGTGGGCTGCGGTGAGACCAGCGGAAAGGCGCGGTTACGCCAGCAGAGGCCGCGCTGTGTTGCAGACAACCCCACACGGCAGTGGGTCGCATCGCAAAGGTCCGCTTGGGTCAGATGTCAGAGAC